GGAAAACATTCAATTAGGACTGGCTTACAGTTCAGAGGTTTAGTTCATGATCATCATGGCAGGAAGCATCACAGCATGCAGGCAGACATGGTGCTGGAGGAGCTGAAATTCTACATCTGGATCAGCAGACGGCAGGAAGTGAATGCCACACTAGCCCTGGCTTGAGCATTTGAGACCTCAAAGCCCACCACTAGTGACACACTTCCCCCAACAAAACCACACCTACTCCATCAAGGCTACACCTCTTAACAGTGCTACTCCCTATGAGCCTGTGGGGATCATTTTTATTCAAACCACTACAATTTCCAAAGATCCACCTCCAGATAGCCTTGGGATTACATTTGTAGCAAGTGAATCTTTTGGAGAAACGTTCAAACCAAAGCATGAATCAAATGGGGATCTTCGGAAATGTAGATCTAATTCAGTATGGTTGGGGATGGCTGAGACCCAAATTTCTAAACAGGTTCCAGTGCACTTTGTCCATGTACCATAACTGAATAAAAAGGATTGAATACTTGGGACTTATGACAAACTGTGCCTTTGTTGTAACTGTCTATAGAGTCATTCAATTTTATGTCAGATCCCATAGAACATTAGAATGAAATATTGCCTCGCATTGCAGTTTTCTAAAGATTTCTGTTCCAAAATAATCTGTGACAGCTCTCTATTAACCAAGCGACTTATTTAAATGGAATTCTTCATTTTCCAAATGTCATATAATATAAAATTTACCATCATCTTGTCCTCTTGTCTCTGTGTTGTTGACAGCAAGTATGCATTAACTAAATTGCCTATGATTTGTGTCTGTCATGATTTTTTGTTTCATTAAAATCTTTTCCCTCTTTTATTAAAAATATATTTTTTCACATAATATATCCTGATTAAATCCCTTTACTCCTTTCTGTTTCTCCCCATCTCCCCTCCCATCTGGATCCACCCCTTCTGTCTCTCATTAGAAAGCAAACAGGCTTCTAAGGTAGTAACAAAATAAAATATAGTATAATAAGATAAAAACAAAAACTAATACACCCAAATAAGACAAAGCAAACAAACAGAAAGAGTCCAAGAAATAAGAAACAAATATAGACACAGTGAGCCAATCATTTGAATACATAAGAATCCCACAAAAACACTGAACTGGAAACCATAATATACACCCAAAGGACCTGTGCAGGCCTTATGAGTGTTGCTTGAATAGAGTGAGTTCATATGTACATTGACCCTGTTGGTTTAGAGAACCTTGTTTTTTTGGTGTTCCTCATCCCCTCTTTCTAACACTCTTTCAGCCCCTTCTTATGTAGGGCTCCCTGAACCCCAAAGGGAAACATTTAATTGAGACATCCCATTTAGGGCTGAGTGTCCAAAATCTTTCACTCTCTGTCTATTGTCTGGCTGTTGGCTGCTGTATTTGTTCCCATCTGCTGCAGGCGGAAGCTTCTCTGATGATGGCTGAGAAAGGCACTGATCTACAAGTATAGCAGAATATCATTAGGAGTCATTTTATTGCTATGTTCTTTTAGTAGAACAGTAGTATTTTGTTTACCATAGGTCCCTGGGCTATCTAGTCTCCGGGTTATTTAGTCACTCAAGCAGTATCAGGTATGGTTTCTATCTTGTCAAGTGGGCCTTCAGTCAGCTCAGATATTGGTTGGTTACTCCCACAAGCTTTGTGTTAGCATATGTTGCAGGCAGGACACCATTGTAGATCCAAGAGTTTGTAGCTAGGTCGGTGTTTACATTTCTTCTTTCTTAGCATACAGAGTACCTTTCTGTACAGAAGATGCTAGCACAGAGGGGGAAGGCTTTATGTAGGCACTAATTCGACCTCTTCCTGTTCAATGAATTGTGTGAATGTTGTCTTCAGCAACAGGACCTTGTCATCAGTTTGTGGACAGCAACCTCTAGTCCTGGCAACAGGCTGTGTTGTTTGGGGATTCCCATTGCCATAGGTTTTCTTTCTTTTGGTTTTTCAAGACAGAGTTTCTCTGTGTAGCTTTGGAGGCTGTCCTGAAACTAGCTCTTGTAGACCAAGCTGGTCTCAAACTCACAGAGATCCACCTGCCTCTGCCTCCCAAGTTCTGGGATTAAAGGTATGCGCCATCACCATCCGGCAAGGTTTTTAAGTATATGTAGATATAAGGGGCCAGCAGGATGGCTTGGGGGTAAGGATGTTTGCTTCCAAGCTTGAAAACCTGAGTTCAAGCTCCACAATCCACATAGTGGAAGTAAAGAGTCAACCACAAGTTGCCTTGTGATTTCTATAAGCATGGCATGGCACACACTCACACATACACACACAAATAAATCAATTAAAAAAAAACCCTAAAAATATATTTACATAGACTTAAAACATAAGGAAACACAAACTCTGTCTTTCAGAAATAGGGAGAGAGGATGCTGAGTAAGAGAGCCATCGTGACCAGGAAGGGTAGAGCAGTGATTTCCATGACCAGAATTTTAACAGGAAACTCTCAAGAGTGACTGATTTCGCAAGAGGATCAGTCAGCATTGCCCGTTCTGATCATCCAGCTGTCTTTCTAGATTTGGAGACTGCAGACCTTCACAGGGTAAAACAATGTCAGGTTTACAAGAGAATACTAGAGGCCTTTACTTCAAGGCTGTGTGCCTTCTACTGATGTGGATGAAGACGAAAGGTTGAGGCGGCAGAGGCAGTGACTAGACGGAGGTGGCCGCAAAGACTGTCCCAGGGACACTGGAGGCACAAGGACATGCATATCATTCACAAAACACCAGTGTGTCATAGGCTGGTCTAGGGGACCGAAGGGTCCACACAGTCTATGAAAGAGACTGATGGTGTGCCCCTGGGACACCCTTGATGAGCATGTGTGTATGGCATATGCATGGCTAAGTGGATACAGTCGATAGGTTGGCTGGAACTTTGCAAGTCACCTGATCCAACCATTGCATCATGCAGGCTCCAGAGTCCTAATTTCCAGGCAGATAGCAGTCCACTCTATGCTGAGACCTTTCCAGGTAGGTCCATTTCATAACTTTCCTTGTAATCACGTCCGTCTGTGCAGTGTTTCCCATAATCAGTAAACATTGCTTGTAACTAGTATAAATCACATTGGAAATAGTTTCCTTGCTCTTACTGAAAACTGGGGAATGTGCATGACTTTGTAGGGAACACCAACACATGTAAGTCACTGATCCTGCCTACTTCTCATTCACCAGATCCAAGCTCCCGCATAAATGTTTGTGGATCCTTCATTCAGAATTGGGTTTTGAGTTCCCACAGTACGTCATTAAGAGCTTTGCTACACTTTTATTGACGTCTATACTTTATCTTTGCCTTGTGCACATGCGTGTGTGTGCAGAATCTCTTTGCTGTATTAACATCTTTAGATATAAAATGGAGAAATTGTATTAATTCAACTATTCATCCTATGTAATATAGTGAGGAAACAAAAGAATCTCTGTTGTACTTCCCCAGCACATGATGAAATGGATAGGTCTGAAATTGATAGGTTTATGTTCAATTAAAATTAAGTCTATGTTCAAGAAGTGGGTATACTATTATTCACTTTGGTCTTATTTGCTTGGTTAAAAAGATCAAGAAAATATAAGCATCTATAAGCTACAAATCAAATCCAGCTTGGACACTGACACAATGCAAGGTACCTATTGAAAGGATTCAGTCAGATCTCTATGTAAAGATATGGCTCCATATCTAAGAATAGCGTGTTAAGTGGAAAAGAGTAAATAAAGAATAGAGCATTTTAGGATGTATGTGTGGCATGTACACAGATATTCCTGGGATGAAAATAAGTGGTAAGAGTGTTGATAACTGGATGGAAAATTGAAGGATTCAGACAGAGGCAGAAGATGGTGGATGCAAGAGCACTTTGAGGACCGCACGCCCTAAAGGTAGAACTCAATAATTCCTGTATTGTAAATATCCCTCTGGGCCATTTTTAAGCTGACACTGTTTTAATAATATTGAACAAAATTTGGTTGCCTCCAGTGAACGGATATGAGATAGCTTCAGAGCATAACCCTAGCATGGAGTGTGGGTAGAAAAGTGGCTGCTGCTTACTACAGGTCTTTAGGTGCAGTTTATGTAGGGAAGAGAGTGGCTTTTGTCTAGTGCACATTTTTGGGTGCACTTTAATTCCTCATGCCTCACTTGGCTTGCCCAAGTGAAATATAACCATAAAAAGCTAAATTTAGAAAATCATGAATCCTTTCAGCTACTGAGTACCTTGTCTTGCAATCATGATGGTTCTCCCTTCTTGGTAGATCTTGCATGCTATCCTGTCCTTGTTCTGTACTTATGTATAAGACCTATAGATGCAGTCTGGTCCCAACCAATACTATCAGTAGCTTCTTCATGTGTATGGGACACAGATACTATGCTCACACAGGAGCTGAAAACATATCCATTCTAGGAAAGAGCCACTTTTACATAAGCCACTGGGAAAGGCTGGGCACACATTTTACATGCAAAAGATCAGTTCCTTAGCCACTGTAAAGCAGTGTGGCTTTTCTATGGGTCAAGGTAACACCATGTCACATTGATGGCAAATTTCTGTTGTCTCAGCAGTCCAGCCTAGAAGCAGCTGGCTACTACAGACTCTCTTCACATTTCCCTGCCAAATTGAGATCCAGCCCAGAGGGAGAGGAGGCCCCAGATGTTACTGACTCAAAGCACATTTTCTCAATTCTTCCTAGAAGTCACTCCCCAATCTCCAAGCCCAAGCTTCATGATTGGTTCCAAGAGTTTTGAATTATTCTTGTTTCAACTTCCTTCATGTAACTAATGGCAATGCATCCCCTGGTTACAGCCGAAACATTTCTCATCATTACACCACTCAGCACACACTCAGAGTTTTGTGTGGTGTCTGTTTTTGCCAGTCACTTGAGTACAATGACTATCTCTTGTATAGATACCTTTCTCAGCCCTTAAACATTTCTCGTAGACATTAAAAGCACTCTGGGCTTGTGAGGGACAAGCAACTGTTAACATATCCAGAAACAGCCAGAATTGAGAACATTTTATTTGGAAAGATTGTTAACATGATTTGTCTTCATTTTCCATTAAGGCAATACCACCCTTCCTTTATGGAGGCAGATGGGGAAACACCATTTGAGGAGACATAGAGTTCAGACTAAGGTCACAACCAAACACTTTGCATTCAGATTCAGCAGAGATACTGGTTGGGAGCTGGAAAGAGTCATTTATTGGCTTCCTGAGACCACTGCCAAGGAATGAAGTCAAGAGCCTGCATCTGCACTGCTTTGGAAGATGATGGGTTCCATCACTCCCTGCTATCCCCAAGGAAGATAGACACCTTGGGAATAAGTCTTTCACTAATGCATAGGGAGTTTAGCATTAGTTCACAATGCTCTGTGGTTTTTTAGCTTTTGGTAAGTTTTCATGGAAATTGCTTATCTAGTGGATCTATTCAAATTCATATTGTTCTTTTTGTTTTATTTTGAAACCCAGGCAGTTCCTAGTAATCATTCTACTCTTGACATCCAGCTACAGATGTATGTGTGCCTGTGAAAGCATTTGGGTGAGGAAGGGACATATATTATTGGCACATATCGACCCCTTAGGAACTTGAAGGTGGTGAAAAGCTTTTGTAGTACCAACAAAGTAAGAACTGGTGATATGGCCTGGCAGCAATCAAATATGATGTCTAAAAGCAAACGAAGCTGAGCAGGATTGCTTCCGGATGTCACCAGACATTTTGCCAAGACCACAATAAGAGACATTCACTAAGGAAGGAGAAAAGTGTGGAGATGCAGCGCCCAGAAAGGTAGCTGCTTCATGGTCCCCTCCATACCTGCCCTGAGTGGTTTTACTCTTTATCACACTTTCCTTGACCCACCCCTCAGTTTTGCAGGTTCCCAGGGACTCTTGGGATGCCTGGAGCTTGATTGACTGGTCAGATGCTCCAGTGGCTTAGAGACAAACTTGGCAAGAAAGGGGACCGGAGCAAACTCACAGGCTGAGAGAGGGGATGCAAGGAGAGGCTGTGACCATCCAGTGTGGGCCTCTAGCGACAGACTTTATTTAAGGCAGTTTGATATCCCGTCCAGGTCCTCATTCTGAACAAGGAAAAAGCAGCTAGATAAAACTGGCTTGAAAGATCAAGTGACAGGAACACCATAGTTTTCTCTTTGACTACCAGCGAAAGCAGGGAGGGCGTCTGGAAAGAACTTCTTTTTAATTTTTTTTTCTGGCAGAATTTCAAAGAATGAAAACATCTGTAGAAGAGTGGATCTTCTGAAGAAAAAAATAAAAGAGTGATGCACATATTGCTAAGGATAGTAGAAGCTACTTGGCCGAACAAATATGCTCTTTCCGGAATCACATATAACGTCTCCATGGTTCCGGGGCTTTGGAATGGCTTGTATGTCCTTTTTATCGTGGGAGCACCCTGTGCTGATTCTCAGGGTTGACTGTGTCACCTTCTGGCTTGCTGTCCTGGGCCTTACACCCTCTTCATTCCTCTCCCCATAAGGCAGGCAAACACCGTCATGACCATTTTGGGATTCACTTCAACCAGGTCTTCAGGAAGGGCATACACTCTTGCACCAATTTTTCGGGCCATGGAGATGGCATACCTGGAAGGGAGAGCAAATACGAACCCTGAGCAGCTGGACCTTTAGGAGCATGCGCACAGCATCTCTACTTAGGCCAGAGGCTGATCACCCCCTTCTGCGCACATGCGCAGATGAATCTTGGCTCAACATGCTCCCACAAAAGCCTCTGTCCTGCTCTCTAGTCACAGAGATGACTGTGGAACATGTTTTGCCCTTGAAGGCCTTCCCAACTTTTACCTTTTAATGTATATATGCATCTATAAATGTGCTCATGTGTGTAGAGGTCACAGGTCTACACTGTTTTTCTCTATCACACTTGACCTTATTTTTTGAGATAGGGTCTTTCACTGAACCTCAGTGAGCCAGCTCTCTGATTTGGCTGGGCTGACTGGCCTCCACCCCAGCACTGGCACTATAGTGTGCAGGACCACATGTGGGTTTTCTAGCATGGGTCCTGGGCATGCCCACGCAGATCCTGTGTTTGGGTGGCAGGCACTTTCCCGATTAAGCCATCTCTCCAGGCTCCCTCCAGCCATTTTAAAGACCCATATGAAGAATATCCTCTTGGGGTACACAGTGTGGCAGAAAAAGTTCAAGGATGAAGTAAGAATTGCTAGGAACAAACACTCCATGGACTGTATTTCAACTACAGAAACACAACAAGAAAATTGCATGTATAATATCTTGTCACACATAATACCTGGCTGTATCGTTTCGTGTTCCATATACAGATGTTTTATTTATAGTGTGCTGCTGTTAAAATAGTCAGGGTTCTGTGCTCTGTGTTTTTCAGATGGAATCATCCCAGCTACACAGAGCTTCGGTGCTCTGATAGATTAGGTAATCCCTGATAGCTGTAGTCATTTTGAAATGAGCCCACACTGCTGGCTGGCAGATCTTTTGTCCCTCATTTGTTGTACCCTCCTACTGTAGCTGCTCCTCAGTTTCTGCCCCACCCACCGGGGCCTCACCACAACCGCCTGCTCTCCAAAAGAACTTCTTACTTTAGTGACCAAATTAACTTAAGAGCACCACCCATTCCTCCTCCTTGATCCCCTCTCAATAACCTCCTCCATGTTAATTATTCCAGAAGCAAAGTGAATGCTTCCATCAAAAAACTCACAGGGAAAGTTGCAAGAGAATCTGTGAGTGCAAAATAAAAACAAACAAAATACCCAAACCACTGACATAGCCTTGTCTCAAAAACATAGCCATTCTTAGCCTTTTGTGGACTTTTTTCTTTCATTTCACAGTGTGTGTGTCTGTGTGTATGTGTGTTGTATGTGTGTGTCTGCATGTGTGTCTCTGTGTGTGTGTTGCATGTGTGTGTGTGTCTGTGTGAGTGTTGCCTGTGTGTGTGTTGTATGTGTGTATGTTTGCATGTGTGTATGAGTGTGTGTGTCTGTGTGTGTTATACGTGTGTGTGCCAATGTGTGTCTGTGTGTGTTGTATGTATGTGTGTGTTGCATGTGTGTATGTTTGCATGTGTGTATGAGTGTGTGTGTGTGTGTGTGTGTGTGTAAACCAGAGGACAGCTTTAGCTGTTGTTCCTCAGGCTCTGTCCACATTATTTTATTATTTAGTTTAGTTCTTTGGGTAGTGACTCTCACTGCCCTGGAACTCACCATGTTGACTAGAGTGACAAAGACAAAGCTGTGTCTTTGCCTTTCTGGCAGGGAGATTACAGCCCAGGCCACCATGCCCAGATCTGCTTGTAAGGCAGACAGACACTCTATTCCCCAACTCTGTAAACTCTTTTCTATAACAAGAGGCTAGTTTGTTTTGTTTGTTTCTCAATGCTAGAGGTCAACCCTGGGCTTCTTGCATATTCAGGATGTTCTGCTGTTGGCTCTGTCCCCAGCCCTGAGTGATTTCTAAAGAATTTGTATCTTGTGTTTGAAGGGCCATGTACAGGAGCCTGGTCTCTGAAGTCACCCGACTCTGTCTCTTACCTGTGCAGCTGAAAAATTGTGTGTCCTTGGCAAGTCCTTTAAACTGAACCACAGAGCCCAGGACTGGTTTGTTTTAAGCCTTTGTGGGGTTTTTGGTTTCTGGTTTGTTTTGTTTGTTTTGTTTTCTTTCTGTTTTCATGGTGTTCTTCTATCTAGAATTTCCTCCCCCTCCACCTGTTTCCTGCCAGCTTACCTATCCTTGCAGATGAGCTTAGCTTAGAAATCATTTGCTTTAAAGAGCTACAGCCCCTTCCTGCCCCGTCCCTGGCCTTGGACTTCCGTTTGTATATCCTACCACACTCCATATAACCACAGCTTAACTCTTTCCCCAGTAGACTGTACAGAGCATCATCATATGGGGAACGCAGGTCTCTATTTCCAAAGCTGACCACAGAGAAGAGGGCACTGCTGGGATTTTAAGCACTGGTATTATGAATTCCAGATTTGGAAGGGACTCTGATGTGTCCCTTCTCCCAGAAAGATATGGGGAATTCCTCAATCCCATAATCTTTGGCTGTGACCTTATTTGGAAATACAGTTGCTATAGATGTCCCAAGACAAGGTCATGCTGCAATGAGTCTAACATGGCCTGTGTGGCCTCATAAGGGAGAAGACACAGGGGAAGGCAGCCTCATGAAGTCACACACACAATGAGTGGACACAGAAATTAGGATTATGCTTTACCAGCCAATGAATCCAAAGGTTTGCTGGCTATTGCTGAAGCCAGGAGAGAGCATGGGAGAGTCTGCCTCAGAGCTCTTGGGATCAGTCAGCTCTGATGTCAGCTTGATTTTTAGCTTCTATGATTATGAAAGAATATGTTTCTGTTGCCTTAATCCACCCAGCTAGTGTGGTACTTTATCATGGCATCCCTGGGGAGTTAACTTGAATTCATCTAAGAAAGGTCCCTCTGTAGAGCAACAGTTAGTACACTTTTTCTAAGAGGCCAGACAGTGCCATGACTTGACCTTTTAGCTAAGATCAAGTGAAGCCCAGACAGTAACTACTTTGGTTTTGCAGGATCTGCTGTAACTTCTGAACTCTGCTGTTGGAGCAGAAAAGATCCTGTGTAAATGAATGGACTGTGGTTCAATATATCTTTATTTAACGATACATACAATGGGCCAGATTTGGAGACTGTAGTCCTCTGGCTGCCATCATAGAGGGTTCATTTGGCAGGACACACAGTAAAGCACAGTGACTCTGCTGGTGACATTTCTGACACTGAACTGCCTACTCACATCTGTGGATATTCATGAGTGAAGTGCTCGTATTTGGACTTTCCACATCAAACTTTCACCTTGAAATCTATAGATTAGGATTAAGAAACCAGTTTTATAAGACTGTAGCCTTGCTTATTACTTAGGAGAATATTCTAGACTTTGTTTTGCTCCATTCTAACTCAAGCAATCTTAAATAGCTATGGTACCACACCTAAATTGATGAGACCTTTCATAAATCTTGAGAGGAAAAAATCATATCTCATAGAGAAAGTATTTACAGAGAGCACCAACATCAGATTCCACAACCACCCAGTTGACAGCCGCATCCCTCTCTCCCATCCCCCAAGTTAATTTACATACTTAGCATTGTTGAGTTTCTCTTCCTCATCCAGGTTTTCTGTCTTTATAAGGTCATAGTTTATGGAGCCAGGTTGAATGGCATCAATGAGATCCAGAACTGGGAGGCTGGTACTGATCTTCGGGTCCTAAGTAGAGAGAAAGGGTAGCAGGGAGGTTATCAACACATGCTAGAGTTACTTCTGTCTGCCTCAAGGGAAGAGAGTAGGTCTTTTTTCTTAAATATAGAATAGACATACAAAGAAGATACTAAAATGTTAGAAAAACCCTGCTTTGTGTAAGAGGAGAATCCTAAAGTGAGTGGCAGGAGGCAGGCAAGGGCACAGGTAGACTGAGAGCACAGGTAGGCTTGTTAGCAGTAGATGCTCTTTCTCTGCAGACCATGCAAAACTCAAGGTTTCCATGGAGACAGCACCAGCAACAGTGTGATTAAACAGTGACAGTAATCTCCACACTTTTTCCAGCCTTGTCTTGTCACCCCAAGCCTCAGGAATAGGCATCTACTCTTTTGTTTTCCTTTTTTTAAAGCTTAAACTTCTGAAGTTTATTTTTTTTAAAGCTTAAACTTCTGAAGTTTATTTTGTAATAGACACATGGCATTGTATACAATCATTATAATTTGAAGTAAATAGACATTATGAGATGGCTACATTCAGCTGGCAAATATATAACCTTACAGAGTGGTCATTTTTGTGTGGGGGGGTATTTAACATTCACACTTCATCTATGTTAGTTTGTTCAGTGCCGGTGTCTGAACTCAGAGCCTCACACATGTCAGTACATGTGTACCGCTGACCTAGGCCTTCAGATTCCACAGTTAATCTTCATTTACAGAGAAGAGGGAATTCCTGGGGTTAAGTGAGTTGCTAGGAATTGGTAGCACTAGGGTTTGCATCTGCAATTCTGGACATTTGTAAACGTTTGGATGTTCACATCTAGTGTTGAGAATGCCTCTCAGATGCCCATGCACAGAGCTCTGCATGTGTGCTTTCTTTAGTCATGTCCTGGGCAGGAGGAGTGTGCCCATTGTCTAAGCATGCAGAGTCTGGGCAGTGGACAAGAGGAGTGTGTCCATGCCATCATCTAAAAACATGCTAAGTCCAAGCAGTGCATGCTTGGATGGTGTGAGTCAGGTCAAATTCTAAGGCTCATAAGAGATGCCAGTCCTCTCGCCCAATTTTCCTATATAGGTAACAACAACCATTTGCATGAACCGAATGAGTCTATTTTAGTATTTTCTCTCGGTTGGCAACAGAACTGATGTGGCTAAAAACAAAGATGGATTGGCACTGAGATTTCTTCCTTTAGCACCCATTGCCACCTCCACAGGATTTTTTGTTGACAAAACACCATTAAAGGGAAACGGAGAGATCCAAGTCCCACCTCCCTCCCTGCATTCTGCCCTGGGTGTGGAGCTGACAATGAGTGAGGGATGGTGGGCATCTAGTAGATGACAAGGGACTGAGCTTATTTCCAAAATGCTTAATTATGAATGGGCTGCATTCATTGTTGGAGAGTCTCACTGAAAAGGGACTCGCTAGTCTGATTTTTCCTTTCGAGTCATCAATGTGGCCCTTTTTAATCAGTGCTGCAATGACTTAGTGAGGAGGCGGAGAAAATTAGACCACGATGACTCATGGAATAAGAATCATTAAGCATTCCTAAGAGTGAGGGTCAGCATGGCTTATCAAACCTTGTCCCCACAAAGTCACACAGGACACCACCATGGAACTAGTGTCTGGGGCAGCAGCTGCTTCCCAAGGAGAAGCACCTGCAACTGGCCAGTTCATCTCATCGATATGGTTAAGGGAGTCGTGGCCATGCTGCCCCAGGGAAAGGTGTCCCCCCCACCCCGCCCCCACACTTAGAGAACAGCACCTGCGACGACACCACACATTTCCTAAGCTTTAGTTTCCTTACCTACAAAATAATGAAAACAGTGAAGACAAACGCAGAGTCAAGAGCCCCTGGAATTCAGAATGTAGCAGTAGCTTTGATGTCTTTGACAGTTCCCCACTGCCCTTCCAAATCTCTTTCGGGAAGGATCTGCTCCCTTCAGTCTCTAGCCTCCATGCTTACCTGTGCTCAGCAACCCAGGCAGAGTGGAGGGCTTGAAGTGGGCTGGAGCTCATCCAGGATGAGCTCACAGCAGATAGAGCTCTTGCCACTGCCCTACCCAGCTCTGTCCTGGCATGAAGAGACTTTGACTTCTCTCCTCTTTCCTGCAGGGTATGAGGGGTTCCTCCCCACAAATCCTGACCTTTAAGTCAGAGCACTGAAGTTACCATGCATGGGCATTATTGCAATATGGATCAAGTGTCCAGGTCCTTGAGAAAGACTTTCGAACAGGCATTCAATTTAATAAATCTCATAATATATAATGATATTATCAATGAAAATAGAATTGGGATGAAGTACACCTCCGAAAAAATAGCACACAAGATAATTTTTGGCTTCTCCATTATAATGTAAAAAACTCTGAAATATATTACTGTGTTTTATACCACTTCTGAAGAACAGAGCCTAAAATGAGATGCTTAAAAAATAGGTTTTTAAAATTAACCATTAAAGGAAAAGTGATGAGAAGTATGTCAGTGAAATGGCCATGAACATGAAAACAAAAATGGATCATTGAAGAAAAATCAAAGGGATCATCAACTCTCTAGCACTGAAGGTCACTTAACATGTCATGAAAACCAAGGGGAGAACCGAAGATGGCAATGTTACCTTGAAGCTAGAGATGGATGAGCTTTTCTGAGCATCCTTCAATGTTTCATTCACCCAGTTGACAATAATGTCATCATTGACCTTCTGCCCATCACCAATGTCTTCCATCATAATCAGTGTGTACCTGAATCAAAGAAAAGTAGCTAAGATGATCTTTTCTTTCTAGATGCATCATGGAAGAAAGTCTGCACACAGAAGAGGGAAGAGAGTATTTAACAACACTGATCCCTTCTGCTCATCCTAGTTCATTGCCTCTCTCTTCATAACAACTAGGAACTGGAAACAGCCTAGAAACCCACCAACTGATGAATGGGTAATGAAAATACGATACATTTATACAATGGAGTGTCATTTGAGTGTTAGGAAAAATGAGTTATGAAATTCCAGGATAAATGAGAGCAGTCATTCTGAGTGAGGTAACCTAGGCTAAGAAAGACAAACATACATTTTCTATCATTTGTGGATACTAGTCTTGAATCTTCAGATAATGTGTGTTCCATGTGGAACACCCACAGAGGTCAGGGAATTAGTAATGGGCTGTCAGGATGATTTCAAGTGAAGGCAGAGAGAACACAGTGCTATTAAGTGTTAAACAAGGAATGATGGCACAGGAAGGGTTTAATGGGAAGGGTGATGGGAGGTCAAAATAGATGGGGGATATGACCAAGGATAATTAAAGATAAAGACCCTTTGAAAACAGTCCTATGGAAACCTATGACAGCAGAAGCTTTGTAACATACACACATGCACACACACACACACACACACACACACACACACACAGAGAGAGAGAGAGAGAGAGAGAGAGAGAGAGAGAGAGAGAGAGGGAGATGCATAATTAAATAGAATCACCCTAGACTAATTTAACACCTAAGCATTACAGCTTTTATAGTAAACTACGAAGCAAATGCTTTCTTGTACCTGTTGCCATTGCTCTGGGAAAGAAGGGCAAGCAGGAGAACAGAGATGCCTGAGAAGGAGAATGAGCAAAGGGCTCCTGTAACCTTCAATGTTGTTCTTAAAGAGACCACACAAATTAAGGAGCAAGGGCAAGTGAGATTGCTTAGCAGATAAAAGTGATTGCCACATAGACCAGAGAACAAGAGTCAGATCTCCAGAATTCATGTAGAGGAGGAAGGAGAGAACCAACCTCCCAGAGTTGCCCTCTGTCTTCCACACTGGAGCTGTGGTATGTACACATACAATACCCACAAACACACATCAGCCACCCAACCCACACTACCTCCCAAAATGTAACAACTAATGTTTTTAAATTTTAAATGTTTGGAAAGTTACATCGGTGAACAGAATAAAGGGAAAATACTGGTAAGTCATTGGGAATACAGTAAGACAGATGGCCTCAGACTGAGGGTCAGAATCCCTCAGTATATGGTGGCTTTAGCATTTGGTGTTTTTTTTTTACAGGGAGAACATTTGTTATACGATCTATCCAGCCCTTAAATTCTCTGGCAAGGAATAGGCAACCTGTTTCCTCCTGAACTGGAGGAGAGCCAGGCAGGTGAGCCACAGGCAGGCTTGCTGACATCATGGATCAAGTGAGCAGGAGTGGGTCATATTACCCCATCTTCTCAAATTGAAACCAAGGAATCTGGTGACTGACTCTCACCTCAGGGGGCCTGCCTGAATGAGGGCACCATCCCCTCTGGTGCCTCGGACTTAATCTGTCCTCCATCTTGCTCTGGTTACACAAAGCACGACACTCACACAAATGTCCACAGAGATTTCAAGTTTAAGCCCTGGAATTAGAGTGATGCCTAGGTTGCTCTGGGCTAAAACAGCTTCTGTCGCTGAAAAAGGGAGAACTGGACTTCGAAGCTTTTATCATTTAAAATCTTTTTGAATTAAAACAAATTTAGATTTATTTTATGTGTATGAATGTTTGACTATAAGTATGTATGTGCACCACATGTGTACCTAGTGCCTGTAGAGGTCAAAAGAGGGAGTCGAGGACCCTGGAATTGGAGGATGATTGTGAGCCACCTGTGGGTACAGAGAACCGAACCTGGGTCCTCTGCAAGAAGAGCAAGTACTGTTTAAGTGCTGAGCCATCTCTCCAGCTTCTATTTTATTTTTAATAGGATTTCGTGTGTGTGTGTGTGTGTGTGTGTGTGTGTGTGTGTGTGTGTATGTGTGTGTGTGTGTATTCAGTTACATGCTCATGAAGACCAAAGGTTGACATGAAGTGTCTGCCTCAGTCAGCTACTGAACTGGGAGTCTACGTATCTAGCTAGACTAGCCATTGAGCTCCAAGGATCCACCTGCCTCAGTCCCACCAGTGCTCAACTTTTATAAAGGTGATGGGGATCCAAACTCAGGTCCCCATGACTGCATAGAGGACACTTTACCCAATGAGCCAACATGTCCCAGCCCCATCTGAAGTTTTCTTTGTTTAAAAAAAATCACATTCACTGAATTGGCAGTTAGATCCCCCAGTGGTGCCTTCCATTCCTCTCCCAGATCAGCTCTGCACTCCCCCCAATCACACACACACACACACACACACACACACACACACACACTCTTCGACTGAACAGAATCATCTCATTGGTGCCACTCTAACCCACACCTTCCATCCTCTTGCTTTAGGGAGTCACCTATGCTTGCCGGCTTAGATGTCCTTTGCTTCCCATGTATTTCTGATCCTTTAAACCCCTTTAAGCTCAAGCATCCCTTCCCCAAGCCATGCTGTACATTAATTATCACACCCAATTTAAGCCTTTTTCTTTGAATTTTTGATGGAGATGATACCACCATGTTACCATGGAGACAGTCCACGTCTGTTCATTATAATTGTGGTGGTTTGAATGAAAATTGCCCCCATAGGCTCACAAGGAGGTCTACATTGGAAGGTGTGGCCTTGTTGAAGGAAGTATGTCATTGGGGGTGGGCTCTGGGTTTTCAGAAGCCCAAGCCAGGCCCAGTGCCATGCTCTTCCTGTTGCCTGCTGATCCAGATGAAGAATTCTTGCTGCTCTCCAGCACCATGTAGACTTAGATGCCACCATGCTTCTCACAATGATGATAATGGACTAAACCTCTGAACTGTAAGCCAGGCCCAGTTAAATGTTTCATTATGAGAGTTGCCATGGAGCTGGATGGTGGTGGTGCACGCTTTAATCCCAGCACATGGGAGCCAGAGGCAGGTAGGTCTCTGTGAGTTCAAGGCCAGCCTGGTCTACAGATCAAGTTCCAGAACAGCCAGGGCTACTACTCAGAGAAACCCTGTCTCAAAAAAACAAGAAAAAAGAGTTGCTATGGTCATGGTGTCTGTTCACAGCAATAGAAACCCTAATTAAGACAATAATGTTTTCAAGGAATAAGCAGGGACCCTAGTACATGCTGAGCCTCCAGTAAATGAAAGTATAGATTGGTGGGTAAACTATGTGGAATGAAAGCAAGGAGAGGAATGATATATTTAGTTTGGACTGGAAAAATGGGACCAAATTGCTAGGATATAATGAGCACCCAGGATTAAGTATAAGGTGGGTTTAAAAAATACTCCTAGCTTGAAAAAGATCCTGCCTTTTGTAGGTTCATAAAGATTTTATGTTACAGCGAAATGGGCCTCTTATTTTCTGTCAGCTAGTATATGCACTATTTGCATTAAGACAATGTTTAAGAATTTCTGCCAGTGACCATTGCAGTAAGGAATGGTGGTCAGTAATTACCTCATTAAGTCTTTCCTGCATATAAGCTGATGGAACAAGCTAAACACAACCTTCCAAGAGGTCCCTTCATTCCAGGTGTGCATCTCCCCTTGCCAGAAGTCCGGCTCTGCAGAAGCTCAGTGTGCCTCCATTCCCTTGACCTTGGGAACTACAGAGGAGAAGCCAACCTCTACACAAAGGCCTGTCTTTTAAAATAAAACCCACCAATGAACAGAGACCCTCCTCACAGGGTCATGGGGCAATTTTGAGGTGGCTTCTGGCATAGGTTGTTTTAAGAACAACCCTTCATGGTGGCATAGAGTTCTGGTGAGTAGAAAGCAGTCTCATGCACCCCCAGTAGGCTACAGAAGCTGAATGGAACCAGACACTGATTTGTTAGTGAGAAAGTCAAAGGGAAGAAAGGCTAGACTTGGGATGTAATCTCAAGCAGGCAGTGCAATCAGCAATTGCTCATCCAGAGACAGAATCAAAATGTGAAGCAAGGGGCCAGAGAGACAGACAGCCCCATGGATGAGAGCCCACACAGCTTCCACAGAGGATCTGGGTTTGGATTTCAGCACCCACACGAGGAGGCTTACAACCACTGTACTTTCAAGGTACAAGGGATTCAATGCCCTCTTCTGGATTCCACAGGTATGAGCATCAGGTCTACATACTCAACACCAACACACACACACACACACACACACACACACACACACACACACACACACACACAAATGCACACACATTTTTTTAAAAATAAAACCAAATAATGATCCATGCCTACCTAGATTTTCCCCTTTGGAGGTCATTACCCCTTAATATCACACAAGTTTGGGGTGACTGTGATTTTAGCTATAATGTTGCTGACAAGATCTTAATATGGCTGGTACTTGCAAAACACACTGGGCTGAAAAGCCTTTTGTCCAGATGAAAGCAATGTGAGCTCCAGGTCTAACCAGTTCCTCACTCAACAAAGAGGACAGATATGGTGTGGAGATGAGAGGCCATGCTTGCTCTCCTGCCTTCCCATGCTCAACACTCATTTATTCAGCATTTGATAAGAGGGACAAAGCTTGGTGTTCTGTGTGTTGAGGACCTAGTCCAGAGTCACTGTCCACAGCCTGTGTGACTGCAGAGAATGCTCTCCTTAGTGTCTGTTCTCATGCCTCACTCTATCATTGCCATCTGCTGGCAGTTTACTGGTTTTTAGCTTTTGTCCCCTAATTTATACCTTATTTGCCAGCTGTCCAATCTTAGAATGATTTCCATGCTGCTGAAGGGGGAAAAGGAAGGCTTAAGCATACAACCCTCATTTGTTCTTGGAGGGAAAATGACATGCCATTTGTTGTCCTGATAAATGGCCAAATTAGCATATCTGGGCAATCCAAGTGAAATAAATTCTACCTAGAACTAGATGCAAATTGAATAGATCTGTTACTATGTGGCAGGCTGAGGGAAAAAAGGAAGCAAAACAAAGCAAAACCAAATTCCTTCTGGTACTGTTTACATAATCACCAGTCATTTCTCCTCCTTCAGCGGTAATGTGCTTCTCTGTCCACTTGCTTGTATGTGGAAATCTTACATAATAAACATTTGTGAGAACTGTCACTGGTCATCTGGGTGAGGTCAGCGGCAGCTGCAGAAAGGCCTTTCCTGGTCTACACACCAGCCCTATAGAAAGGCCACATGTGACTGACACTTCTGAAGCAGGTAAGCATGGAGAATAATTTAGCAACCTGGAGTACAGCTTGGTCTGGGCCATGAACACAGCCCTCTCCTAATAATGCACTTGGCAGTCTGAGACCCTTACCTGTGCGTATTACACACACACACACACACACACACACACACACACAGTCTTCCCCAAATAATGTGGCTAGCAGTCTGTTAGTGATCCATCCAGGACCCCACCTGTACTGAGCTGAGTGTACACTCATCTCTGAACAATGGATAGGTTTCCTCTTCTTTTGATGGTTGAAAACAGATGAACCCTTTATTCATACCCCCTTATGTCTGGGTAAGACACTGTGCCTAGATTGGATCTGGGTATACCTGCAATAACTATCCTCCAGTGAACGTCTTGGGAGGCTCTCCTATTTGCCTTCTTATGCCTATCTGTAACTGGCAATGCATATGATTAAAATAAGAAGCAGAAGGGAAGGGGCCTGGCATGTGCAGTAACAAACAAACAAGCACCTTATGTAAGTTAAACCTGTCAATTAAAATAGAGAACTACTCAAACTATGCCCCTAGTAAGCACACTCTTCCTCCTGTGCCCCCCCCCAGGAGGCCCCTTTGAGTACTCTCACTCATGTGCCCTGCTGCCACTCTTTCTGATCTGCTCTTGTGTCCGTTTTTAAATAGATTTCCTCGCTATTCTAGCAATCTGTGTAAGCCTTTCTGTCAGTTCCATGAACCATGAATAGCACTGTCAGAACAAATCACAATACAGGGTTGTTTTTAGATAGTATAAAATATGCAACAGAATAGGGCTTGCTTAAGTTCTCTTATCATTAAATTAGAACATATAATTACTAACTTATATTGTAACCCATGGGAAAATGTAGTTATAACAATGAAAAGGACTTTTGCCATAAAGCCATCAGTACCCCATCCCCCCAAAATATGTGAAAGACAATGAAGCTCATTTAGAAATAGTTCATGGAACTATATATTGGGGAGACTAGTACTTGGGAGCTTTCAGTCAAGTGTGTCCAACCCATGGCCTGTGGGCCCTGTGTGACTGAGGACAGCCATGAATGGGCCCGACACAAAATCCACAAACCCACTTAAAATGTTAGAGATGTTTTGTGGGTGGTACAACCCCATGGTGGTTCTTGAGCGCAAACTTTGAGGTTGACTGTGTGGTGTAGCAATGTCAAAGGTTAGATATTCCTATCGTGATTTGAATGTCAAATGTTCCCCATGGGCTCATGCATTTGAACACTTGGTGTCAGCCGGAAGTGCTATTTGGGAAGGTCCTGGGGCTTTGGGGAGGTGGAGGAAGTGACTCAAGATTGGCCTCGAGGCTTTACAGTCCTTCGAAGTTCCCATTCTACACGGATGACCAGCCAGCTTGCTGACACTATCATCATGTCTTCCCCAACTGTCTTCTCTGCTACCAGGAGCTCTATCCCTGTAGAACTGAGCAAAAATAAACCCCATCCCCCTTGAGTTGCTTCTGTCAGGTTATTTTGATTGAAGCAGTGAAAAAGGAACTAAGAGAATGTCTGCCTATGACATACAGTAAAGCAGGGTTCACATTTCTTTAGCTCTGGAGTTTTGCATACAGTATGACATCATCCATTTCAACATCTGCTTCCCATCAGTTACAAGACCCTGATTTAGGGAATGGGTAAAGGCACCACGATCACTGCCAATCATTCCCCAGCAAGTAGAAGCATTGGCACAGTTACATCAAGGACCAATCATGAAAACTGGGATCTGCAGATTCGAGACTAAGGCTGGGGGCTGAGGGACACAATCACCTTGTTTTTGTCATGACCCTGTTTGACAGAATATAATCTGACATGCGATTTATAGCGCTTTCCTGAAGGTACAAAATAAATTATGTCACATGGATACAGGATCTCTAATGGAAGAATGTAAGATTCGGCCTGGTTAGAGCTATCAGTAGAGAGGGGGAAGAATGCAATATTTTAAGAGAAACAAGCTTATTTTTATTTAATCAATTTTCTCTTTGTATTATTTTTACCTAACTAATATCACTAGGTAGCAATTCATTAATCAAGTTTACATCTGGGTCTCAAACATATCTAACATTCTTCACTAAAGTACTTTCATAGAGATTAATGGGACAGGGTGAGGTCCAAGTGACCAGTCATAAGCACCTAGCACACAATGCTACTCAGAAGTGGACAACATAAAGGACAGGATAGTGGCCTCTGAAAGGAAAACAAGGGAGGTGAAGAAGCCCTAAGACTGCCTATCACAGAGGGGTCTCCAGGCTGCAGGCAGAGAAAATCTAAACAGAACATCTGCACAAACTGAGGTGATATGGCTAGAACTCAGGGAAACTAAGGAGCCCAGAATTTGCAGTGCAGAGTTTTAGAGTCACTAGTATTTGCATGAAGAGGGAAGTACGATCTATAAAGAAAGCCCCAGGGGTCCTCAGGGGGCTCTTCAAATGTCAGCCGAATTTTGCCCAGGGATGCACGTGAGGCTGGGGAAAGAGCAGCCTGAAATGATGGGAGAGCTTGTAGGTTCAAGATCCTTTTATTGAGATAAATACCAGCCAAGCGCAAGCCAGAGCGTGCCAGGGGCAGCCGAGCAGCGAGGCCAGGGAGAAGGTGAAAGAGAAGGGGCTTCCATGCGCTCTGCGGCCCTTTAAGAGCCCATGCCTTGTCATCCTGACCTCACCTTGACCACGCCTTGACAGGCATGGTCTGGCACACCTGTAGCCAGCCTCTAACAGGCGTGGCTTACTGTCCCCTATACTGAACAGCCCTTGAAGCTCACCTGGGCATGAAACAATTTGGTTCCCACGAGCTGAAGAGGAAAGAAACCATAACGCATGGGTTCTCAACTATCATGCTCATTTAGCTTCTCATTACTATGCAGCAAATGAGCTCTGGAGGCAGCTTACAGCAAGCCTCAAAAGACTGAGACTGGGATTAGCCTAATTCCAACCCAGAACAAAAGGGACACATTGTTAAAGGAATGGAGAAATATCCAGTATCAAGCAAGGTAAACCTTATGATGTATGGCACGTGATCAGAAAAATGAGCAACATGGAAAGAAGAAAGAAACTATGGCTAGTGTGGAAGATGAAAGTGAACTAGTAGAAACAGACTAGAAGTCATCACAGCTTATCCCTATGCTCAAGAAGGCAAGCAGAAGATGAGAGTTTGGAAATAGAAAGAAAGATTCAACACTTTTGGGTGTAGACACTATAATATAAAGGTAAATATATGTATTTATATTTATAGATGTATGTATACTAAATGGAGTTTAAAAAACATGGCAGTATACAAGAGAGAAAAAAAGAGAGATTAACTTAGAGACACATTGGCCTATCTCTTCCAAAATGAAACAAAAAATAAAGGAAGTAGGTAGACAGAGAATCTTCAAATGATTACACATACACTCAGGGTTTCCCAAACAGGGGTGGTAGTGAATTCAGAACAAATAATTAAGGAAATTAAAAACTAAACGTTTGATATGAAGTTTAAACCAGTACCATCAAAGAATTCAAGAACCCTCAAGTATAAAAAAAAATTTGCACAACATACATAATCAAATTATTTCAAAGTGATTATAAAGGGAAATCTTAAAAGAGCCCCATGGAAAAAACCAGCATATTACATACAGAGGGCCAAAGATGAGGCTCACACAGGTTTTCTGCTGTTAACAATTTAAGCAAGAAGACAGTGAACATTATTTTCAACATAGTTGAAGAAAAGTACCATACCAGAATTCTACACTCAGAGAAAATACATTTCAAGAATAAAGAAGAAACTAAGGCTGTTTCTGGCATATAGAAACTGAAACAATTCATTGTTAACAGACCTGTACTATTAGGAAGATTCGGGATATAAGTAAAGAGATATAAGGTAGAGACTTAAATCTATAGCAAAGTAATTCACTATTATTGCCACAAATTAGTTGAAGGTAAAAGGATGGGAAAATGTAGGCCAGCCAAGAGGAAGTAGTAGTGACTATATTAACGTCAGGAAGAAAATGTTCAGAACAAAGAACATGACCAGGCACACGGGAGGTCACTCTATAATGAGATAAAAAGTATGATTCTGGCTGGAGAGACGGTTCAGTGGTTAAGAGCATTAGTTGCTCTTCCAGAGGTCCTGAGTTTAATTCCCAGCAACCACGTGGTGGCTCACAACTACCTGTAATGAGATCTGGTACCCTCTTCTGGCCCATAGAACACTATTTATGTAATAAATAAATAAATCTTTATTTTAAAAAGTATGATTCATTCAGATGAAACAAAAATCTAAAATGCTAATGAACCTAACAATAGGTTTTCATGAGAACTCAAACAAAAAACCAAAACATGAAAGAAAAAAAAAAGTAGCAGAAAAACAAAAGGCACTTCCTTGGTTACTTACAGTTTTACTGAATGAAATCACTTTCCTGAGACTTTCCAACAATGTTTCTAGATTAATAACCCATTCATTAAAATCTTACTCCTCCCTATGGACCATATTACCTTCTCATAAGCTGCCAAAGTAGTGCCAATGTGAGAGTGCGATTTCCTTCATTGAGATCTTGTCCAGCGATGCCAACCAGGGAAAATTTAGCTTGATTCTTCCCCAGATCCACTGCATAGTTACAGTTCTCAAGCTGTTAGTGAGGCCGAAAGAAAACAGCTTATGGCATCATCTTTGGTTATGATAAATATCAGGAAAATGATACGAAAGATAGAAAACAAATAATATCAGACCTGTGCCATCTCAAATACCAACTGGGTTCTGCACTACTGTGATCTACATTAACCAGAGAGATTTCCAACTGTAAATGTAATTCCTCAGCTCCAGGAAAAAATTCAATGTGCTAGTGTGAAACTAGAAGAAATTTGTTATCATGAGCATACTCATGTGTATGCACACCACATAGCCAGCCACTCTCAGCTATCAGTCTGTGGTATTTCTAAAACAGTTGGATTTTTGGAGATAGATGGACAGGAAAAATTTATATTCTTCTCCATCTTACGTATGCATAGTGGATAGACATGGAGGACAGATACTCCAGTGGCTACTCATAGATCATTAAGGATCACAGAAAGCAAGTGAGATGGCTCAGTGGGTAAATGAGCTTGCCACTAAGTCTGACAACCTGAGTTCAGTGCTCAGAACCCTCATGGGAGAAGGAGAGAACTGATTCCTGGAAATTGTCCCCTCACCCCCACAAGCGTGCTGTAGGACACATGCATGTGAGTGGCATGCGTGCTGTAGGACATGTTCATGTGTGCGTGCTCCCCACACACAGGCACGCATGCACACACACACACTTGAGCACACAATAAATAAACAAACAAATAAATAAACAAATAAATATAAAAAAGAATCACAGAGATAAGGAGTGGTGAGTAGTGGCTGTGTCAACCCTATAATTACAAAACAATGCTCCCACCCTGTTGACAGTAGACAAACTGGACCAGCCAAGTTGTGAGTACAAAGCTCCAATTCTTCCGAAAATTGGAATGACGATCTTACTGGGGGCAAAAAGAGAGTCCTGTGGCTTTGCTACCTCTAATTACCTTAATTGGAGAATTGTCATAATAATGTATAGAGAAATGCAACATGAATTATAAATGAGTAATCAACTGTAATGACAGGTTCAGTGTAATGGAAGTATTCATGGGGTCTCTGGTGCACTATTATTTAAACCCTGCTAAAGACTCAGCGAAGCTTGGCCACCTGGTAGAGTGTTCACAAAGAGCTTTTGCTGGCTAATGCCACTGCCTGTCTCATGGCCCATCAGAAAAATCATTGTTTACCTTTTTCATGTTGCCCCCCAGCTTAGGGTATGGAGGTTTGTTTACTCTGTTCCAGTCAACAGGGACTTTGATCTTTTCATAGAGCTGGAAGATGATCAGGGCATCCGCTAAGTCACTGAACAAAACAAGCACAAAGAATTCTCAGAGATCCAACATTTTACTTAGGGACTACAGTACATTAGGCACCTAGTTCCTACAATATCACCAGGAACCCTGGAAGCTTGGTAGGAGTAGCTCCATCTTTAAAGATGTAGAAATTGTGATTCAGAGAAACTGAATTTACTGGTTTACTCTCCCAGTGACTATGTCCCTTCCATGGACATAAAATGCCTTTAGGCAGAAAAAGAAACAGCTATAGCAATAGCACAGGGAACAAGTAACTGCAAACTTAATATGATTTTGCATGATCCTGAGCTTATGACATGCAGCAAGTTTGTCACTTGTACAATTTTTGTATTAAATACAGTGATAACTGATGCATGGGGTGAGTTTCTCCGTGGAGCGGGCCACTGGGGCACTCCTGGATCCCATCAATGTACACATTTGGGGAAACACACACATACACACTATAGTGGTAATGTGTAGGATCCTGTGCTCTTTCAGCGTCTGTGTGTCACATATCAAGGATGAGTCCCCAAATCTTCCTACCTGTACAAATGATTGACTCGAGGGTTAACTCCCAAGGAGTTCATCCAGTTCCTGAATGTCCGCTCTTCCCTTGTCTCACCTAGGTGAGTGAAGACTAGTTAATAAATACCCTACAACAAGTCTTGTTTATGATCTAAGTTTATCTACAGTGGATAAAATACAGATGAAAGGTATAGAAGAACTCAGATACTATTAGAGGAGGACTGATAATTCTATTTTTTTCCATTTAATTTCTATAAGCATTTCTACAGCATCTAACAAGATTTGGTGTCATCAAGCAGGGTTCCATAGAGCCAGCTGGATGAACAGAGGGAGGGGAAAGATACATTTGCTGTTCTAGGTGAGACAGGAGAAAGAACACATAGCCCAGAATTTGAAGCACAGCATTGAAACGTCACTTTCTGGGGTCTGTAAAAGCTGAATAGGGATAAGGAGCAAGAAGAGCATTTGGGAAAACAGATTAAGAGTAGTAAGAGTGTAAATATGAGCACAAAGGCAGCAATAGGCCAGCTCTCCATTCCCAACTCTGGAAAGTGATGTGTTAGGGATCCATGCAGTGTAGCTAAAGAGCTAAGACCATCTAGAGGCTGCAGCCAGGACTGGCAATCTCAGCAGGCAAAGTAGCAGATTTACGCTGATATATTATACAGTGCCAGGCATTGTGGGTTCTTCTGTTGGATTGCTGTAATAAATTCTTGAGCAAGGCAGAGATATAATGAAAGCTACGCCAGATGTGCCTGGCAGCGGTGTGCAGAATTACTGAAGGGTGATATGCATTTAGATTAAACATGCAGAAGGGATCGTATTTGGTATTGGTGGTGGTGGGGCACATTTAACTGTTTGATGAATGGAAGAACAGGCCCTTAAGATCTACTAAGATAATTGGTGTATGACACAGTATGAATCCAGAAGAGCAGAAAGGGAGAATAAGCCATCCAGGAGACATTCCAAATGAAGAATTATTGGTAGTTTCTTACATAATAGATTAAAAGGGAATGGCAGAAAGATACCTTAGCAAAGCTCAAGACTGTTAGTTTTGGTGACCAAAATAACAACAAAATGGGATGCTGAATTGAAATGAGAATCACTAAAGTGGAGCAGATGAGACAGGAAGTGGAAAAGGCAATACGGATGAGGAGAAGTGTTCAGTTCTGCTTTGGATGCACTTTATTGGGAAAGACACAAATCGTGGTGCCAAAGCAGCAGCTAGAAATGCATGACTAGTCAGCTTGATACACAGATTTGAAACGAGGAGACAAAAACAGCATCCAAATGGCAGGGTTGGATGTGAGTGATACTTTACTAGAGTAAAGCACCATTGAAAAGGACTTAGACAAAAACAACCTGGACTTCCTTGAGTTAACAACATCCATTTCATACTAATTTTTACTTTATTTTTATATCAATATAGAGATTAGTTTATGTTTTTTAAAAAAGGATCAGTAAATATCTCTGGTATCATTAGCTGGTAGAAGCTGAGCTGACTGAAATTACATGCCATATTATATAAGAACTTTAATCTGTAAAACACTACTGCCAGGATTCTGCTTCAAAATACTGTCTTATGTCCTAATGACCTCCTAAAGAACAAAATAGAAGTGAAAACTTGAGCAACATGTCCCAGTATAATTTACATATCACATCAGATGGTGAGTAGTGGCCATTCCTTGCCTCTAGGAATTAACACAGTCCATTAAGTGTATACATCAAGATTTTGGAGCTTACAACTTATCTCATCCAATAACTAAATACACTGTCTTCCCTAAAACAGTTAATTCTGATAATGGAAGATGCTTGTGTTTGGTGAATGTGATATAATTATATTCGATTATTGCTACTTGGCTATAATTGACTTGATTAATTCATTCTATTTGTTGTATACTGGAAAACTAATGGCCTGCTTGTGTTCGTGATGGGTTTGCATTTGCTTCTTCGGGCTGATTTTGAATTACCATTGGACCAGAGCTTTTTTTTTTCTTGAATACCTTAAGAAGCTAACATTATGGTTACCTTCCAGAGCCCCCCAGTCGATGTCCTGGTTCTCTGGCTTGTGCAAGGCAGGGTATTTGTTAAAGAGGTTGGCAATGAAAGCCAGGTTCAACTTGGGGTTCCCTCGGACAACATCGGTGGCTGTGACAAACTGCCGGCAGCCTAGCCTCTCCGCCTGCTGCAGCATGCATTCTGCCCTCTGGATGTCATCCTTCTCCTGCAATGAAAAGGATGTCAAGAGGCTGGGTCAAGGATCCATACACATTTGGGCATTCGTAACATGAAGGAGAAGCAGGGTCTCATTAATGTGCCAAGTGGCTAACACAGGCAGATACCTAATTACAGCTGCTCATTACACATACTACATGCACGCAAATCACAAACTCGCAGGTTCCGTACTAGGCCAAGATTCCCCCATCACTTAACAAATTCAAATGAACAGCTGACTGCACTTTAAAAGGAACTTCAGGAAAATCTGACATCTTTTACATTGACCTAAATTGTTTTCAGTCATTAAGCTTCCTTTTGTTGTAGCTTTTTTTTTTTTTTGCACAGACTTTACGAGAATTTGCTCTGATAAAAGTTTATTAAGTAATAATTTATATTCCTACTTGTAATTCACAGAAGACATTTACAGTCATAAGTTAAGAACATCTGATTCATACAACTACTTTTCCCACACTGGGTTGGTTAAAACCCAAAGTAAGGGTCAGCCTCCCTACCATTATTGGAAAATGTAGCATAATAACTTGGCTTTGGCAAGTTTCCAGTTGAGGACTGCAGCAATGCTCAGGAGAGTGAGGACAATCCCCAGTCATCTGTAATCAGACTCCTAAACAAGACTAAGCTGTCTTAGATGATGATCCAGTCTTTGTAAAGTCTATGACATTGCCTAGCTTTCTCTTAACACAAGACTAAGCTGTCTTAGATGATGAGCCAGCCTTTGTAAAGTCTATGGATCTCCTACTTCCACAGAGCAAAGCCTCGCATTAGAATGATTCCTTAGGCTGCTATTTCATGCTCACTTCATGACCATCACTTCTTGTTTGCTCTCACTTCATTTCTCCTTCAGAGATGAGCTCACTTCAAGATTAACTCATTGGCTTTAAACCCAATGACATTAGATAAGTCATGTTAACAGACAATGTGCGGGGATCAGAATTGTAAGTGGTGATAAAACCCCAGGGCATGAGCTCTAAGTCAGTGGTAGAGTTTGCCTACATGTGTGAAGCCTGGGGTTCTCTCCCAAGCACTGTGAACCACAAACAAATAAAAACAAAACAACAACAACAACAACAAAAAACACAACATCATCAAGAGAATTTTCTTTTGATTGGATTATCACCCAAGACATATGTCCAGGTCAGTTTTCTGTTAGTTTAACACAAGCTAAAGTTACCTGAGAAGAGGAATCTCACCTGAGGAGATGCCTCCATCAGATTAGCCTGCAGGCAAGTGTGTAAAGCGTTTTCGAGATTTGATTCATGTGGCACTTCCCTATCCAGTGTATCCCAGTCACTAGAGGAAGTGCCACCCCTGGGCGGCTGGTTCTGATAGTTTGTCTAAGAAAGCAGGCTGAGCAAGCCGGAAGCAGCATTCCTCCATGCCCTCTGCTTCAGTTCCTGCCCTGACTTTTCCTCTATGATGACTGTGATTGGGAAGTGTCAGCCAAATAAAATAAACCCTTTCCTCCCCAAGTTGCTTTTTGTCACAGTGTATATCGTCATAGCCCAAAAATCAATGTTTGTTATGTATCAATTCAAAATAAAACAATACATAATAAAAAGAACATTTTAATAGTTAGACCTAGGTTGGTGTTGCTGTGCCTTTGAAATGCTGGGCATACAAAGAAGTGCTCTGTGTGGCACATGGCACTTCATTGGTATCCATTTCTTATCCTGGTGTTTTATGTCCAGATTCAATTTTCCATAATTATTATCAAAAATTACTGACAGTGTTCAATGGTTTAACAGGCACTTAAGCAGAGCTGGGGACAAGGTGGCACAAAAGACCAGTTAGCACCAAGAGCACGGTGTTCTTTGAAGACAGTGGGCACAGCCTTACCCTCAGTCCTGACATGTCAATCACGACAGCGGGGATTCCTTCTTCATCGCCTTTTGGAGCCACCTGCTCAAGCAGGTGGTAATAAGCTTTTGAATCCTGAGAAAAAAATTAAGAATTACAATTTCAAAACAGTGGAGCTAATTGCATACTTAACATGACAATCATCTACTAAAAACAAGCAATGTATTTCTTATCCCTGTTATTCAGGAATATAGCAATTAACTGAGCTAGAAACATTCACTCACTAGAATGTCCACACTGTCCAGTTACATTTATATTTGTTTTCTCTTTAAAGGAGTCTAACAACTAAAAAAAAAAAAAATACAGGACCAACATAAAAGGCAACACAAAGGTTTTGTCATCTTCAGCGGGAGAAAAACATCTTATTTATATGAATTAAATTGTATACAGGAAAATATGTATATACCTTTATACTGCTGTAGAAGTCAGTCAGCTAAGGTTTAATTAAAAAGAGTGACAGAGAAAAAAGGAAGCAGAAGTTTAAAGCAGAGTTTTAAAATACATTCAAATGGACAATCAGCAAAAGAAACAATTTCAAAGACAGATGACTGAGACATTAGCAAACAGTCTTGTGTTGTTGTTTTTCAAACTACAACTTACTGATGTGTGTGTGTGTGTGTGTGTGTGTGTGTGTGTGTGTGTGTGTAGGTCAGAGGACAACTTTCAGTGTGTTCTCTCCTTCCATCATGTGGGTCCTGAGAATTGTGCTCAGGTCCTCAGGCTTAACAGAAAATATTTATCTGTTGAGCCATCTTGATGGCTTATTTTATTTTATTTTTTGAGACAAGGTTTCATCATGAATCCTGGGCTGGCTGGCCTTGAACTTATGGTTCTCCTCCTGCAGCCTCCCAAGTGTTGGGATTATAGGCACTAAGTAGTCTTTTAGTAACAGGAGAAATATCACCAGGGTAAATGCTTTTCCTATTTCTCCAGAAACTAAAAAACACAGCTAACCTGGGTTATAATGAATTGGGCAGAGGCTGAATTCTTAAGTTTTATTGAATTCTTTAAGATTCTTATTGACAAGTAGAATTTTCAGCATCATGATCTTAAAAATACAAATTTATGCTCGGTCAATGGAAGCATACAGAATTTCACTTCATCTGTTAAGATAGTTTAAAGCCTTTTGATTTAGTTTAAATGCTGAAAACTCAGGAGTTGCACTGTTTTTAATTTGGGTACACACCTCAAACACATGTGTTATGGCAGCTCTTCCTACATACACACAGTCACAAGCACTGTGTAAATGTCCCATTGACCTTCCCAAAGTCCAGAATGGTTGGTTAAGAGCATACATAGCCTTTTGGCGAGAGTAAATCAGGCCCATTTATGACTGAGATCATAATTTTGGGCACATAGTTTTCCAAGAATGACAGGACAGAACTATTGAACACAAATGGGGTATGTGGTCTGACTCCTGTTAGTGCCACTTTGGCTGGTGCTGCCAGAAGAACGTTGATCACCGTGAAAAGTGTGCCTAGAGGAGCTCCTTGGGAATGGGGGAGGGACAACCGGCTACATGCTTCACTCTGATTGGCCCTGTGCCTGACGAAAGCTGATTTCTGAACACACCAGGAGAGTCCACGTGGCACAGCAGCCAGACGCTGGTGTTACTGAATTATAAGCCTGGAGGACTCTTAGCAGGTCATGTGACCTTTCCTCTGGCTTGTTCTCTTTGGAGAGCATTTCCTTCTAGTTTAGGAGAGTGGACAGTGAAGTCTTTCCTGACATTGGTATCCCTGTATGTCACCCTGTTCCTCAGAGGACTGGTATCTAATGCTCCTTAGCAGCTCCTTAGGTGCTTTTCACCCTGATCTGTCTGTCACCAGTTACAGCTGCTTCCTCTCACCTCAATATAGAATTTTTCGTAATATGAAGACCACACATCTGCCTCCCTGGGGATTCTTTTATGGATCTCTTTTTTCTTTGTTTCCTCATTTGTGAAATCCTTACCTTAGGGGTGTGGTAAGGATTCAGTGAGTCAATCATTAAAGTACCTAGCAGTGCCTGGCATGTAGCAAACACTGCTTACATACTATTATTAGTAATCAGAAAGACATGGTCATCGAACATTGTAAAAGGAAACCCTCTGAGATGGCACCATCTATAAAGAGCAACATCAAAGTCTTCCATACACTTTCTCAAGAGTTATTTATTTGCACGTGTGTGCAGACACGTGCATGCGTATGTATCTGCATGGGTGAATGCTCATGTGTCTGTGTGCCTGCAGGTGCACTTGCATAGAAGTCAAAAGAGGGCATTAGCTCTCTTGTAGCTGGAGTTACAAAGGTTCATGGGATGTCAGGTTTGTCATGGAGTGCTGGGATCGAAACTCTGATCCTTATGACGAGAGCCATCTCTCCAGCCACTACACATACTCTCTTCACCTTAAAAGTAGCATTGCCCTTGAACCACCATGCACTCTTGCTGATCGACTTCCTGCTATGAAACTCCAAGGGAGACTCCTCTCCCTGTGAGGCTGCACAATGGCTCCAGGCAGATGTGTGTGTGTGGCCCAGAACTAGAGCTGCAGATTGGCCCCAGGGAGACGGGGAGTGGCTCCAAACAGAACCACACTAAGCCTAGGCTGCTAAGACACAAGGCCCAGCCTCTGTCCTTTCTCTACTAATCCACAAATACTCCCCATGGCAGTAGGCGTGCTCAATGTCGTTCCCCTACCTTGATGTCAGTGCTGAAGTTGGTGATTTTGTTGCAACCTGCATTTTCCAAGTGGTAGTTAGCCCACCGCAGCAGCAGTTCTTCAGGAGACAGCTTCATCAAGTCCTCCAGGCTCTCTCCTTCTCTCAAAAGAGCAATCAGAGCTGCAGAGGCACAACAAACCAACAAAGAAATAAATATGACCCCAAATAAATACAAAGAGATTTGGGGGCATTTGTTACGCCTGACATGGATCTCTGTTGGAAGAGCAAAGAGCACACTATCCCTTTAGATGTAATATCTAATAGCCTTTACCATGAAATAAACAACTCACTTATACTTCCTAAAAGGGGTACATTATTATGAGCTAATTTATTATCCTGTTTTCAGCTAGAAAAAACAAGGACCAAGGACTCTCAAGCCTTTGCTTATGAACGCTAGTTACAGCATAAAGGTAACTTAGGAGACTTGCTGGAAGTACTGTGTTGGGTCTATTGGACCACACTTCATATCACAATGACATTTCTGCTTTTAAGAGATCGATTTTGCAATCATGGCAATGTTCTCTTTTCTATTCCCGTTGGTGTTTTATAGTCCAAATGCTAACCTGTATAATTATAGCAACTCAACAATGCAACCAGCTTGCCTCTGTGTTTCCCCAGATGAATAAACATTTTTTTTTTGCTTGGTTGGATTTAAATTTAGTTGATTTGATTTTGCAAATCAATATTCTTTCTCTTGGGTTTTAAGATTCTTATTTGATATTTCTTTGTTTTTGCTTTTTAAATATAATGCTTAGTATTTGGGTTTCAAAGTGATATCTCAACATTTTCACTATTTTTTATAATTTGAACACATAGTTTTGAAACATATGCATAGTTGGGGCTGAAGAGATGGCTCAGCAGTTAAGAACCTGGCTGCTCTTCCACAGGATTCAGGTTCAATTCCCAGCACACATATAATGACTCACAACCATATATAACTTCAGTCCCAGGAGACCCAACACCCTCTTCTGGTCTCCAGAGGCACCAGACATGCTTGTAGTATACATATATACAAACTACTGACATGCATAAAATAAATTTAAAAATTAAATATGTATAACTGAAGATTATAATTTAGCTACAGATTTACCTGAAATTTTGCAAAAGATAATCTTTGATTTGTGTAACACTTTAAGGCACATGTCCATCAACTCAACTGGGCCATCACTGTTTATATGAATTGTTCAAAATGTCTCCCTTTCTTTTCTTTTTCCCCAGTGCTGGGTGGTTGAACCTCTGGCCTTGTGCAAATAATCAGGGTCTCATTTAGTTGCCCAGGTTGGCCTTGAATTCATTCTAAAATCAAGGCAGGAGTTGAGTTTGCAATCTTCCTGCCTTAGCCTCCCAAGTAGCTGGGACTGCATGTAGGTCAGTTCTATCAGACCTGGCTTGAGTTCAGAATTTCAGAATTCTAATATGGGTTTGTATCATTTTCTAAATGTATTGTATATATTTAAGGTACATAATATGGTGGTGTCATGTACTGATCACATTAGACACAGTGATGTGATTAATCAAACAAATTAATGACCCATCAATTTGCATAGTTACTTTGTTCTATTTTCTTTGAGTGATAACAGTATCTAAAAATCCACTTTTGGCAAGTTACCAGGGTGTACTACAGTGTGACGGACTTAGCCCTCCTGTTTGCATTAGGTCTCTAGACTCATCTACCCAGTATAAATGCAACCTACAGCTTCCTTGGCAGTCAATAAAAAGGAGACCAATCTCTCCCAATCTGGTACATTTGCTAAAGTGTTTGAATGTGATTCATCTTACAAAATATGCATTAAAACTCATCCCGTTTACTGAAGCCCTGTAGACCATTTGAGCAGTGAAGCAGCTACTGGGGGTTGGGATTCCAGTCAGGCTAAGCTGTATATTCTAACCAAAGTATTATTGCCAGTCTGTGGTCTCTAAGAGCCTTTGCACTGTCACTGTAAAAGCCTGGCTTGCATGAATAGAGTCTGTTACTTTAATTCCATGGACTCAATATAACTGAGTGGTTTTCTCAGATGGAGAAAGCCTGATATCTTCCCCCAGTCACCAACACAGGCAGTGTTAGAAAGCCATGCATTTACAGCACTCAAGACTTTATCTTACCTTCATTTCTGCTGAGTTCAATGTCAGCAAACAACCCAATCTTGATGACTTGCCACAAAAGTCCCAGGACCAAATATGGCTTCCCCTCCTTCAGGTCCTCGGCCCCTATATTAACCACATGGCACCCAATGGCTGAGGCAGAGTTCAGAGCCAAGTTCAAGTTTTCCTGAAAGAGAAAAAGTATGCAAGCGTGGTACCTTCATTTTGCCAATGCCAAATGGTTCCTGATTAGCAACAGCGGTAGCATTGTCCTTCTGGAATGTTCACATACCCAGAGACAAGGTCTTCACTAGTTTAACACTTAGAAAAAGCAGTAAAATAATAATGAAGAAAGGCTCAATAATCGGCACACTGAGCTTATCTACTGGTCTACTCAATCAAACCAGTACCCGGTGGAGAAGACCCATTCTGGCATGAGAGTCCTGTATTTGTCTGTTTTGCACTCTGATGAAGCCTACACATTCAGAGCCTCCATTAGCCTGAGGAAATCATTGTCCTGTCACTGTCTGTGGCTAAGAAGATAATTGTTGATGTAAATTAGGGTCATAAATAAGGACAAGAGAATAGCCTTTCGATTTGGAAATTTATTGTCATGGAAAGAAAGTGATATAAATCAAATTCCTGGAAAAGACCAAGGGGCTTTTAACAGAACAAGTTACTCAGCATCTATGACAAGCAGAAAACTTGCATATGCACCCATGTATACAGGTTCCAGGTATATATTCTAACCATGCATGCATCTACTATAACTCATACACAGCTGGGATAGATGGAGTGTTCCATCTCTTGGGTCCTATTTTTGGGCCTATGAAGGAAGAGATCAGTGTCAGGGAAGTAGAACAGCTTTTTGGTATGTATGACAAACTAAAATAAACTCCACCAGAAAGTCCTTCCCAACTATTCCAAATAGTGAATAAAAACTACTGTTTCTATTATAGCCAAGATTATGAATAAATCTAACATTAAGTGCATTCTCATATGTTCAATTCTTGTTCCCAACTTGGTTAGATTTCCATTTTAAAAGTACACAGGGTTGCTTAAGTCCAAATAGGCGATAATCCATTTTTCATGATTTAAGGTATTAGACATGGTCCCTGAGCTAGAGAATTACAATAATGTTAAAATATTGGAACATAAGATAGAAACACAGCTTATTTGCTCCTGGTGACTATTTCGGCTAATCAACAAGCTGAGGATAGAAGCAGGTTGTATTCATTCCACTCTTGGCTGTGTCAGCAGCTCTATGGAGGCCTCCAGAGCATTTCCCATTTTTTCATCCCTTCCCTGCTTAGAAAGGCTTGTCTTTTCAGCTAATGCTGTAAATTCAGCATCAATTTAAAAATGGCTTGGTAAGGAAAGCTTGAGTCACAACTACAGCCAATATGAAGTTTTTTCTTTAGTGATCCAAACAAACCCAGCTACTAACACACCCCCAGCTTCCTTTCTTGACTGCTCCAACAATAAACATGAGCCAGAAATGTGTCCTTCTACCCACCAGGTTGTAAGAATGGGCAGCCAAGGCCTATGGTGGGGAAGGAAGTCTGAGCACTTCCGGGAAGCTGACTCAGCAGTGATGACTCAGCAGTGATGACTCAGCAGTGATGGGCACATTCATACCAAGCCACCACCCGCTTGCATAGCAATGGCAGACAAACCTGAATGGTGAAGGGCGTGAGCTTCTTTTTGTTGATTGTTCTCTCATCAATCGTGTCTGGCACTGACAGGTTGACCATTTTACTGAAAGAGAAACAGTAAAATAAAATTTGCTACTATTATGAGTCATAATGGAATAATCTGATATGCAATCCCCAAAGAGGTCTTGACCTACCAGTTGAGAACTGCAGCCTTAGACCATCATTGAATTCTAGGTAGGTAGTAAAAACAAATCCCCCATGACTTTCTTAGACTTGTAAATTGTCCCCACTATGAAAGAGACTGTTGATCTATTTCTGGGCTTATATTAAGCCTACATTTCCATTTGACCTTTGATCAATACATGTAACTAAATATATAATAGCTTGTTCTATCATTCTGCAGTTATTTGATCAATGTGTGATAAATTTTCCTCATTTAAGTGTCCAATACATTGATCTGATATCTAAGCAAGGGTTTATGAAAAACTGATTTTTTCCAAGTTATTGTTTGTTTTACTCTTCAACAGGGTGTTAAAAAAAATCAATGATCTTAGTGACCTCTGTTTTATTTAAAGAAAGGAAATGAAAATCCAATCTCCAAAAGGAAGCTAGACTTGATGGTACAGGCTGGTAATCTCAGCTACTCAGGAGGCTGAGGTAGGAGGATCACAAGTTCAAGGCATGTCTGGCCCAGGGAATGGGTTCAAGGCCACCCTAGCCACCTTACTGAGACACTGTCTTGACATAGACAAAAAAAGAGCAAAAGGAAGGCTGGAAATGTGGCTCTGTGGGTCCTTGCCCAATACGTGGGAAGCCCTGAGTTTGACCCCCTAGAGAAATACATCCAGAAAGAACAAAAAGGGACAAATGTAAACACTTTCACTTATTTATGTGCACATGTATGAGCATGTGTGTGAGCATGCAGATGTCACTGTGCCTTTGTGGAAGTCAGAGGACAATGTGCAGGAGTCAGTTCTCTCCTCCTGGGGGTTAAATTCAGGTCGTTGGCCTTAGTGGAAGGTGTCTTGACCCATTGGCCAGGCTCACAGTCCCCCAAAAAGCAAATAAAAAAATTGGAAAATGTGAGTGACTATTTCCTCTTAGTGACAAATCAATTTTTAATAAACTATTTTTATAGTTACTTTTAAACATATTTTCATAACTTTGTCATGTGTGCACATGCTTATGAGTCTCTAAGTGTACATTCATGTATATTTAAAACAAACTTCCACTGCTCTGTCTCCTTCTCCAGTCTATCTGGGGTAGGCCATGCTCAGATGAAGCAGAGTAACATATACTCCTCCCCCCCCCAAATAACTGCTCTGGCCTGGCATCACTGTGTCTTGGTTTATGTACAAGCTCATCTTTATACTTCATGTCTCTTCTCTCCATGAAAACAACAGCAGTTTTATGGACTGTACTACAATTAACTCCCCTGTATCCTGTCAAGTAGAGTCCATAAAATTACCACATACGTGCAAGCATCAAAAGAAATGGCCTACAGTAAACACACTCAGCTGCTGATACTCCAAAATAAAAAGGGGGAGGGTGAGTCTTTGGAAATCAAGACGGAATCTTCATTTACCAAAGAACTATGCCATCCCCCACAGCATTGAAGAGATCGTCGGTATTCGGGTTCATGGGGATGACATGCCGGCAGTCGGGGTCACTCTCCAGTGCTTTGTTTATCCAGTTGACGAAGGCGTACTTTTCTTCCTCTACAAATAAAGAATTGAAGTGACTTACATGCAATACGAAAACTAGATAAAGACATTGTCCACATGGACTTCACATTTTCACACCCAAGAGTAAAACTGCCAGGTTACCTGGCCATCATCTCATCATCTTGGATTTACTAGTTTAAAAATCAGAGGTCCCTTAAGAAGCAGGCACGAAGTCTAGTAATAAAGATACAATTAAAGATTTCAAGCAGAAGAAAAAATGCACATCGTCATATTTGGATAATTATAAATAATAAAATATTTTGCGTGGGTATAATTTAAATACAAATGTGGTTTGATATTTAGAGGATAAAACTCAAGATCTTGCCTTTTAGTCCCCCAATTTAAGTATTGTATGTCATGGATGATCACTGAGCTATCATTGGCTATTTTTTTTTACAGTTATAATAAAATGGCTAGGGAATGAAATCACCTGTGATAGAATTCTTCCTTTCTACAAGCAAAGCTATAATGAGTTTGAAGGAACCGGCTTCCTTTTGGCAGCCATTACAGCCGAACACATGCTTGCCATAAACCTGCCGTGGTCACGTAGAGGTCAGATGCCTGTCTCGTGACAAGGAACCAATCGGAAGTTAGCTGGTGGCGCTATGCTTTACGACCCTGGGTGGTCTTTACGGACAAGCGCACGACAATGACGTAGAGAGCATAGCAACCACCCTGGGAGGGCCTATGAGCCATAACAACCAGTTGACCAATCCCCACAGGGCAAGCCCTCCAAGCCTGGAGGCACACCAATCATGAGCCTGTGCGTAAGCCTGTGCGTACCCCTAGACACTCCCCTTACGCTGCCCTATAAGATCTTTGGGGAGACCTTAGGAGCCGTCTTTTTCTAGCCGTCTGCCATGGCGGGTGGGTGAAAGACCCGAGCTAACATGGGGTTAGTTCGTTAAATTACAATAAAGCCTCGTGCAGTTTGCAGCAAGCTCTCGAATCCGCCTGGTGATTGTGGTGACCGCGAACCTGGCCTGAGACCCCGGATACTTGAGTTTTCGGGGGTCTAACAAGTTGATCTTAAAGTCTTAGTAAAACCTGAGGCTCTGCCTTCTCCCTGAGTACCATGTTTTTCAAATTCTGTTACTGAAAACAAATGTCTCTCAAAGGAATTCTGAATTGTTGAAACATTCAGAAGGTCCACTGGGGCAACAGTGGCACAAATATTATGGGAGTAACCAACCACTTTTTAAAAATTGGGTCTAAGCTGGGCGTTGATGGTGCATGCCTTTAATCCCAGCACTTGGGAGGCAGAGACAGGTGGATCTCTGTGAGTTCAAGGCCAGCCTGGTCTCCAGAGTGAGTGCCAGGATAGGCTCCAAAGCTACACAGAGAAAACCTATCTTGAAAAAAAAAAAAAAGAAAAGAAAAGAAAGAAAAAAGAAAAGAAAAAAAATTGGGTCTAAGACACACTTCATGAGATGGAACCCACTCCTGGCACTGTTCAAGAGGCCAAGAACCTGTGGCTGGTTAAGCCACAGGCTCTAGGAGAGAATGCATTATTATTTTGCTAAATGGACATAGTATGAAAGTGATTCTTAGGACATATTGCTACACCCATGGATTAGAGCATCTCTCAGTCCTCATAAGAGAAGCTTTCAGTAGATAACAGTTAACGCAGAGACCCCTAACTAGTCAACTTGCAGAGAACCTGAGACTGTAGAGTGCACAGCCCTAAATGGGACATACATATCACACCCCTACCCTCAAGGCTCTGGACCTTCTCAGAAGAGGGGCTGGAAAGACTTCGAGAGCCAGAGGAGGTTGCTACCATCAAGGAAACACTGTTTACCAGACACAACTGGGCAGTTGCACATATGAACACACAATGCTTTTGACAGCATGCACAAAACTTGAGCAAGCTTCAGCCAGACGAATTCCCAGCATAGAGGGGGGAATGTGGCCATGAAATCCTACCACTGTCTGAGGAAAGGGAGAGTCCATTTTCTATAATGAGGTGACCACACACCAAGGCAGGGCCCACTCCCAAAACTAACTGGGCAGCACAAATTGGACTCAATGGAGAAAGAAAAAAAGGAATGAATCTCAAAATAGATTGGGAAGGGATTAGAGAGTAGAGAGGATGGCTATGGGAGGAGTTGGGGGAGGTGTGTGTATGTTCAAAATACATCATATAAAATTCCCAAAGACTAAAAATATATTTTTAATAAAAGCTAAACTTTGTCTCGTTAACCACAAGCAATGCTTATCTATCAACATATCTTTAAAACTGAATCATCTTTTAGAAAACTAAAGTTTGGGAAATGTTGAGTAACTGCAGCCTTTGGCATCTTAGACACTTCCATTAAGGTTGCTTTGTGTCAGCCTTTGGAATAAATATAAAATTTCTCTTCCCAATCAATATTTTTTGACCACTCAGCAGGCGTTAAGAATAATCATTATACCGAAGACAGTGACTCAAAGGGCTAATTTTGTCCATGAGATGTTTAAATCACTCAGTACAGGAAGGTCGGTGAAGCTCAGGGCTCCTGCATCCTGTGCCTGGCACTGGCCCACTCCCACATGGAAAGACAGGTTTCCATCCACACAGGCGTGCTTGCTTCTTCAATTTTACTTCTCTGGTTTGGATACCAAATTTTGACTCTGTGACCCTAGCAAACCTGGGTCCTCTCTCCTCATTTTATCCTCCTCCAATTCTCACCCCTTGCAACTCTCACCTGCTCTGGCTCTGCTCCTCACCCATCAGCACAGCTTACCTGAGTAGGAATGCTGGGTACCAACACTGGACTGCTCAGAGGTGCCGCCAATGGCACAGATCCCTTCCTTTTTGTTAATAGCTTTCCGGAAGGTTTTGGCAACCTCTGTGCTTTTCAGGCCATGGAAGACCTGTAAAAACATAATATTTTTTGGTTCATTTAGTTTAAAAACTTTTCGTTGACAGGGTCTTGTATGCAGTTTAGGCAGCTGGTACTCACTATGTAACCCAGGCTAGGATTTGAACTCAAAGCAAATCCTCCTGCCTTAGGTTCCCAAATTCAGGGATTACAGAGGTGGGCTGCCACATCCAGCTAGATTAAGGCATTTTTAGAAACCCAAGATATAGTCAAGAAAACCACAAAGGTAAGACTGTAACAATAAACCAGGAAGGAAAGGATTTTCTCTCTGGGTATTTGTTGACACTGAGTTCAAGTTTCAAATGTATCACCTTGAATTCAATATCATGCTCACCTTGATAAACTCATCAAAGCTGATCTTTCCATCCTTGTCCAGATCACCGGTGGCCATCAGGTTTTCTGTGATTTCTCTCACTCGGTATCCAGGCAGAGGCAGGCAGGCAGCCTTGAACAAGTCGTTCAGCTCATTGCAGCTGATGTATCCGTTGCCATCTGTGTCTGTAACACAAAGGATGCAGTGAAGCTTTGGGGTAACTCAGGCACAGTCTTTACAAAGGCCAGAGAATACTAAATGGCAGGTGGGGCTGGAGGGAGACGACCAGTCCTGGGTTTCAGCCTGACCCAGATAGAGGCAAAAATCTGCCAGGTGGCCTGTTGCTGTTGGATCCAGACAGTCACATCACTTCCAACATCCACAGTAAAAGATTCATAATTTCAAAGCAGAGGTTTCAGTAACATGTTATTTAGGAACTCACGCATGCCTGCACATATAAAAGGGCTTGTATGCAAGTTCATGTGTGTGAGAGCACACACACACATGTGGAGGTCAGAGGAAAACCTTGCCTATTGTTCCTCAGAATTCTCACACTGAAGCTGGAACTCACCAATTAGCTAGAGCTGGCCAGTGAGTCCCAGAGAGTCACTTGTCTCTGCCTTCCCAGGGCTAGGATTACAAGACCTGTCACCTGCCCAGCATTTTCTGTGGGAGCTGGGAATCGAACTCAGGTCCTCACGTTTGAGTAGCAACACTTTACCAATTGAGCCGTCTCTCTAGGCCCTTCTACAATCCTTAGGAATTCTTATAGAAACTAAAAAGTGAGCCACTGACTTACCATAAAGAGTAAAACAATATTAAAATAAAAGAACCCAGATAAAAGCAGGCAAGACATAAACAATGAGGCATAGGGAAGATCTGTGGGAAACACAAAAGTCCAGGTCCCTGTTTGAACCAGGAAGGAAGTGTTTTTTCTCAAGCACATCTTTCAGAAATCAACTCTCCTGAGTCGTTGGCCTTCCAGCCGCTGGGGTCCTTTAATATAGTTCCTCATGCTGTGGTGACCCCCAACCATAAAATTATTTTCGTTGCTGCTTCATAACTGTAATTTTGCTATTATTATGTTATTAATTGTAATATCAATATCTGTGTTTTCTGATGGTCTTGGGTGACTGATGTAAAAGGGTCTTTCTATGCCCAAAGGGTTGGGACACACAGAGCCTGTGCTTAAACTTGTTCATTAGGCAACTTGGTAGAGAATGGTGCAAGGGGGTTCTGAGTCCACTCACCAACTTTGGCAAAAGCCTCTCTGAGCTCCATCATTTCCTCATCAGACACTGATCCTCTGGCCATTTTCACTGCTTAGGTGACAACCTAGGAGGAAGAGGACATAGGAGTGAACACTGTCCATCTCAACCCTTACAACATCTTCATGACAAATCCTGCTTATTAGAGGAAGACATGTTCTTCCTCATCCTCCATGACTTGTAGCCATTGTTCAAAATGTCCCAGCCTCCAATGTGGGGTCGTCAAAGACAGCTGCCTACGATTTCTCCCCTCCCTGCATGGAGACTCAGCTTCTCACATGAGGAGGTCCTGGAGTGTAAGTGACGCCAAGGACTGGGAATTCCCACCTCTTCTACTTTGAAATGTTCGTTTTTGGGCTACTCATCCTTCATCAAATCCCAGTGTTCTCACAAAGAAGCCAGCGAAGGAGAGCTACACAGCATCCGCACCCTCACCCCCACCCATGAACTCTGAGCTATGGGTTCATCGGGCAGTTGCCTGAGGAGGTCACTGTGGACCTTTTGACCCATTTGAACACTGAGCCGACATTACAAGGGACAGAGAATGAGGTGACAAGGTTACTACATTTTGGAGTAATTTACCACATAGAGATATAGAATTAAAACATTTAACATTTACATAAGTATCTTTTCAAATGCCATAGTTATCTTAATGCTTGGCCAAGCTGATAGATACTCTCCATAAATTCAATGAGTTCTATGCACAGTCTGACCATACATAGTCAAGGATGAAGGAAGGAGGTGACCTTTTAAGAATTCATATGTGAAAATCTGAAGCACTTTTCACGTGTTTTCTCAGAAAAACTTGCTGAGCAACCTGCTAGCCCTGTGCATCACTGCTTCCCTCTAGTGGGCAGAAAGAGAACGAAATAGAAAATAATATCTTTCCCGGGCCACTTGCTAATCCACACATGTCAACATCCTTCAATAAGAGTCCATGGAAGTCAGCTGGATTTCCTGTTGGGGAAGTTGTAAGTGGTATGAGAACACTGCAGATGGGATGTTTCTAACTATAATTTCCTTTTGACCATTGTAAAAAAAAAAAAAACCAGTATCTGTGTTAAAATGCCTTAAATTTGTGGAAGGATACTTTAAACTGACTTCTTTTTAAAAATATTTTTATTTTCACATCATTCTGTGGTGCTGTGTTCTTCTCAATGATAACTGACAGTGTTGTCTGAGATTGGACTGTCCCCTACCCGACATGTTCGTATCTCCTTGTCACCGTACGCATCCATAGGGACATACTACCCTTCTCCATCCCCACCCCTCCTCTTACAATCACTGTTCCCAAAACTCATTTGAACCAAGTTACAAAGGACCCTCCAAGTCAATGAGAGTAAACACAGCAAGAGGATTCCGTGAGGAACTTGGGTAGTTGATGGATGCCTAAAACCTGTCTCCTTTTGCTAGCAGTGGCTGAAAACTAAACTCTAGTTCTCTAAAGGAACTGCTGGCTTGTGGCAAAATCCTTATCAGGTATTAAGAAGAGGGAATTTATGGCATGCAGTAAATACCACATTTTATTGTCCCTTGGTGACACTCAGTGTAGGCCAATGGCTACATTAGCATAATGATTTCCATTTTATAGAGGACACAAGGAATCTCAGCAACTTTCCTACTGTCAATTCTCTCCCCTCTTCCAGCTGCCTACCTGGGCACCATACCTTCACACTCCCAGTAGACACTCCTCCTCTCCACTTGCTCATTGCTCAGCAATCACTGTCAAGTATCTCAACTACCTAGCTGGAGGGAGATTTGAACTTCAACATTGTGAGCTTGTCTGGGAATTGCAGAAGAGGAAGCTCACATTTCTTTGTGTTATGCAATCAAGGCTTCTGTTACAGGAAAGTTGTTGCAACTTTATAAATTATTGTGACTGCGTTGGCTCCACTCTCCTCTATACCAGCACTACACACACACACACACACACACACACACACACACACACACGTTCATAGCAGGGTTCCTCCATCACACTATTCCTGGATGTCACAGCCAGTTTGGTTCTACAGCTACCAGGCCACACTTGTTAGACATCTTCTCCTTGGTTCATGGGCATCCATGGGATGATGTAAGTTCTTACATTCAATGCATATTTTACAAACGCCTACTATGAGCCTGACCCTGCTTTTTATTTCAAGTGAACTGTGACTCAGTTAGTTAAGTGAAAATAGGAATGAGATTACATTGTGTCAAAACAGAACCAAGGAAAATGGAGAGATGGCTCAGCAGTTAAGAGCATTGCTACTCTTACAGAGGACCTGGATTCAGTTCCTGGCACCCACATCAGGTAGCTCACCAATACCTATAACTCCAACTCCAGGACACCCTCTGGCCTTACCTGCACAAATATAGTACACACCAACTCATGCAGGAAAAATATGCATAAATAAAAATATAAGGATTTTTTTTTTTGGTTTCAAGATGGGGTTTTTCTGGGTAATAGCCCTAGCTGTCCTGGAACTAGCTCTGTAGAGCAGGCTGGCCTCGAACTCACAGAGATCTGCCTGTCTCTGCCTCCCGAGCGCTGGGATCAAAGTTATGTGCCACCACTGTCAGGAAATATAAGTAAAATTTAAAGAACAGAGCCATAGAAACAACCAGAAGAATCATAGCATTGGGTTAAAAAAGAAAATCTAAAAAAACCTCCAAAGATCATGGTATAGCAGAGTAAAAATATTTTAGCATAAATACCGCATGTCTTCCCAGATTGCATGGCTCATCCAAACTAGGACCTTAAAGGGACATATTGGTTATCTTAAAACACAGTATGTTGGTCAGGAACAAACACCTACTATAACATCTAATAATGTTGTCTTGGGTGGCTTATAAGCGGGAGGATAAACTTGAAGGTGCAAACAGTGAGAACAACTTCATTTAAAAAATCCCCTAGTCTTCAGTAGTTCAATGGCTTCAAAAAAAAAAAAAAGTGAGTATATGTGGTGTAAAAAGTGGATTGAGAGGGGAGGTTAATGTTGACAGCTGAAGCTGCTGTGACCACTGTGGGCTGTTGTAGGGCCCCGCCTCGAGCAGATTGTCTTGTTTCTTTTACCTTCACACTGAGCAGTAGGACCTAGAAACACAACTCCACGTTCAGAGGCAGGGGAGCATCAGGAACAGATTGCAGTGTTCTGACGTATACATGAGGAAACCGACATATGACCACATGAAACGCTTTGTCCGTGCACATACTAAAGGCCATGCCTGGCTGGTGTTCCCAATGCAGATAAGAAGAGGGAGGGTGAAGCTGCCACTAGAAGGATCAGTAAAGTCCTTGACTGAGAGGAGACCCTAACTAACTGAACTGAGTGGAGTGTGCAAAAGAGTGCTTCCGCACAGTGGGGCAGGCCATGATTAATGTAAGACGCTGCAGACCAGACACATCTAAGAAGGCCATCGCGGCAGTAGCGTCTAATTTTACATGTGTTACATAGCTTGCGTGTTTGCCTGAGGGGAGGATGCCTATTTTTGTTCACGCAGGTTTATTCACACTGTCTTATCATTTATTGGGCAGGTTCCTAGGGAAGTTGTCACTTTGCAATCCTAGCGCCACATAGGTAGCAGGAATGGGTCAAGCTCTGGCATCGGGAGCCCAAAAGGGGGACTGAAGGAATAATGCATGGGTCTTCCAGGCCGGGGATGACTACTTTCAACTCAGCTTTCCAGAGCCTGCAGAGTATGATCCACGTTTTTAATTTCTTTTTGGTGCTAGGGCCTATGCATGTCAGTCATGCACTCTACTACTGAGCTGCATCCCCAGCCCCCACCCATACCGTCCCTTTAGGTCAAACATTTAATTGCATTTTATTTAGTATGGCAAGGTGTTTGTGTGCGGGTGTAGAGGTGCCACATTGAACATGTAGGAGTCAGCAGACAACTTGAAGGCGTCATTGCTCTCCTTTTGCCATGTGGGACCCAAGGAACAAGCTCAGGTAGCAACTGAGCCTAAAGCCCATTTACCCACTGAGGCATCTCAGCAGCCCACGTGTCCCTTTCTAAGGACTTCGTCATCTAACAGTGCTCTGCCAGGAACCATTTTAATCAGCAGTCAGTTCAGGAACTTCATTTATGAATCATTACCCAAATCAGATCTAAAAGGACGAGTCTCAAGTCATTTACCTGGGTCCCATCTGGCTGCTTGGTTTCCTGGGAGTGCTTCTTCTCTTCAGAACAGTCACTGCAGAATCCCAAGACATTTGGCTAAAGGGATCACTAGCTTTTCTTTGTTCTTTAAATGTTTAAGAATATCCTTTAGCTCAAGTAGCTCCCAAGCTGCAAAAGTGCATGGTTTGTGTCTCTGCTTACAGATAGTCAGTGTTCCTCAGATGGGTCACAGCCAGTGATTCTGAGAACGAGTTATTACCAAAGTACTTGACTCAAGTTTCCTAAAGCCTGAATGTGGAGGCCATTTGTGGGATTTACCACAGAACACAGTGCTGAGGGTCTTACGGAAGAAAACAGTTCCTCTAAGGGAGTGTACACTTGGGAGCAGAACCTTCTCAGTTTCAGAACTGATCGTGGAAACAATAGGAAGAGGGGCAAGGGGGCCTGTCCTGATGTGATACACACAGGCTACTCTGGGTTCATTAGAATTGAGGTTAGGGACAGTGGCAGCCACTTATCAACCTGCTAGAGTCTGAGGGCATCTGTCACCCAGTATCACATGACCAAGGAATTCTTCCGACTGTGCCCCACTTCTCCTGCAACTTGACTCTTTAGTTACAGGAAAACTGGAGAGTTCTAACACTTAGTCCCAAATGTATCTCAGAACCTCAGGACATCCCCAGGGGAAATTACAAAACATCCAGACATCTCCCTGAGCCGTGGGTAATCAGAAACATGCTGTATGACTAACATGAACAGTACCGGACTCAGTATCAGCCTAAGATGACTAAGAAATGAAGAAAAATGTAGCGAAAGAAAACACTCTATAGTTTAAAATAGAAAAAAAAAGTTTGCTTTTTGCTTGGTGCTGCCCATTCTGTTTCACAGGGACACTTTTAGGGGAACTAACGAAGAATATACAGCAACTTACTCTACGTTCTTGGAAACCAATTCTCTATG